TGGTGATCAAAGATGAGATGATTCCACATCCCTGGGTTCAAGTAGATCCACTTTCGCCACTCTTTATGGACCAGGCATAGAGATAACACGTCATCTATGGGATTGGGTCGTGTTCCCGGCATCGAATCTGTGTCAAACATGACAAGCGGGACCATCTGGACGATTCGTTGCCAGTTTTCGAGCTCTATGGTTTTCAGGCGGTTTAGCAGTTCGTCACCTCTCTCAAGTTTGTCGAGTTTATCTACTAGCCTGTTGTATTTTTTCTGTAATTCCCGAAGGGATGGACCTTTGTAGTCGCTTGCACTCTTGCATTGTTGAATTTGATCCAAGACCTCTAGACGGCGTGTTTCGAGTTGCAGCGCTTCTTCGGGGTTTTCCCATCGGAAAAAGGGCGGTTTGGGTATGGGTTTGGGGACAACAGACATGACTGCCTAGCGTGCAGAGAGGTCCAACCTTATTGCGGGGCTAGTGGTCAGGCCGTAGCTGGCGGAGGGGACATCTACCTATACGTGCTCGATTGTAGTTTGTACGAGACAATTATTGCATCCTTTGTGAGCACCCAATAAGCATCTAGGTGTTCTATATGCCCACCCACTCTCGGCTCCTTCAGAGTTTTAACCATACCGGAAGTCGAAAGTCGTCTGGTGCTCGTTTTCGGACATCGGATTGAGCAGGAGGAGAACGTTTTAGTGGCCAGACAAGTTCATCGCACGCGACGTTGGCCAAGAGCCTGTCCTTTCACGTCCCGGGGAGGGAGAGTCCCTCCCCGGATCTCCGTATCTGGCAGAACGCTGTGCAAGACCCGCCTGTGGCTAGCTGAAAAGGAAGGAATAGCCGTTGTCTTTACCTTGCTAAGCCAGTTGACCTAGGAAAACACGCTGACTCTCCTGCATTGCCGTTGGGCTACTCTGGTTCCACTTTTTCGATCTATAGGGAAACCTTTAGCTTCAATATCATAACGATACTGCATCAAAGCTCCCTTCTCGCCCTTTCCGGAACAGTTTAGGGGCACAAAAAGCTCTAGGAATGGTCATTGTTCCGTGGGCTGGCCATTGTTTCGAGTCACGATAAAACGTTGCCTCAAAAAGCCACAAAGCAGACGGGATGGAAAGTCAGAAAGGGTCGCATATCCACATATTCTCGTATTTTTCAAGTGGATAGAGAGCTGCTCATGTCCGTCTTCCCGTCTGTGCGACATGGTCATCTGTTCGCTCCCTCGATCAATCTTTCCCATAAATAGTTGTTCAAAATCGTTTATTCAATCGTGACGGTACTAAATTATCCATGATTCTGGCGAAACCTTGGAAAACAGGGGAAGAGGTAAGCCGTAGAGACAATTTACACATTCGGGAGGTACTCGACGCGTTTACTTACTCATAATCCACTTATATATCACTGATGAGGTCTCCTAGTACGTTGGGTCTTGTTTTAGTTATGATCATGGGACGAATGCGAAGCCGGCGTGTAGAAGACAAGAGGTCGTTGTTCATTGTGCGTGGCTGGAATGCAACCCGCCTTCTACCACATCTCATCTTTCGACTCACAAAGAAATAGCCAATAATACTGCTATTTAATGAGTTTTCCGGTTTCATGTCATCCCTCTCTAGGAAGCAATCAGTTTCTCCACCAGGCCGTCGGTTGCTGGAACTGAGGAGCAGCTAGAGAGTAGCTATAGGTAAGATATAGCCTTTTCTCGATCCATAATCACGTACGTATTGCTCATAAGACATGAATCTATCCCTGTAATTTGAAAGACTCGCAACGATTCTTCTTTTCCAGGTCGAGACAATTGTTCTTATGTCCTTGCGATAGGGACTGGACTCTGCGTTTCAATTACAATTTATCGTCTTAAAGAATCTAAAGCAATCTGCTTGCACCACTTTTCAGCTACTCCTCGATTTTGGGAATCGATGCCTGCTCAGTGTCCGTATTGGCTTGAAATTGGCCCGCGCCTACCTTATACCAAACTCTCAAGATGCAATACGCGAGAAATCAATGGACTCTGTTTAGCAAGCGAACAAGTCTCATCCTTCAAACCACTCGAGTCGAAAGGATTTCTCCTTCTCCATTGCATGCCCCGCTCCTGCTCCACCCGTGGACCTCCGAGATGAGATACGGCTCACTGAATACTCTCATTCATCGCAAAAGTGCAGACCATACACACTACCGGGCCTACCCCTGTCCATCTTCCACCGCCGATAGCTCCGTCCGTAACAGACACCGCCAACTCATCTTTCCTTTTCTACACGCACACCTCTGACAGGACCAAGCCGAGCAATAACGAGGAACAGCCCTTTTATAAGGAGCGAGTGGAGGTAGGACTTGCCAAAAAGTCAATTTAATTTGATTTTTACCCGACGGCCATAGAAAGAAAGCGCCCATTCTATCCTTTGGTACTCCTCTCTCTTTGCTTTGTCTGCATTTTTTGTTTGTCTGACGTTAATAGGGTCACGTGCGTGCGTGCTGTCGATGCCACTACCGCTCGTGTGCGTGCGTTTGACAGGTTCTTTGCCGCGGGACATAAAGGGGTGTGTGTTCTAGGTGGTTTCTCGTCGTCCGAGTCCGTCATAGGTAATTAGGTGGGGAGAGGAAGATGATACTGCCACGGTGGGATTGCCCAGGAAAGACCTGAGAGAAGAGATCAAGAAGGTTCTTTGAGTGGTGTCCTCTACTCTTCTCGTATTGCTCAGAGTCTGGCATGCAGCTTGACAAATTTGATAGATATAATCCATATTATTCATCTCACGACAGATTTGAAGTCTAGAACTCTGATGTAAAGCAAGCGTATCCTCGAGCCTTTCTAAATAGGGTAAACGCCTAAAGCCGGATTGTCTAAGGTCTTGATTTGGCTTACAATATCACTTTCTACATGATAGGTTAACATTAATCATCATTAGATATTAGATATGTTGTTTCCTCCGTGTCGGAGGAAGAACTTGACGGAGCCGAAGCGATCGAAAGGCCGCGTTGCCTGTTGAACCACGGCCACGACATGCTCTTTACTCGATCTCTCAAGTCTCAACAGCCAAATCACTCCAGATGACAAATTGGATCGAATAA